AAAATACATGCTATTGCAAGCAAAATAATATCAAATTGGCAAAATTTCATTGAGAAATAAAAAAAGTTATGGCCATTCAAGAGAATACACCAGACTAGTATGATTAACGAGTAATATATGACATGATGATGGATTCTCCATATGAAAGTTTTAGTCCTCTTATAATTTATCACTTTACATGTAGAAAGTACATGCTATTGCAAGCAAAATAATTCCAAATTGGCAAAATTTCATTGAGAAATAAAAAAGTTATGGCCATTCATTAGAACACACCAGACTAGTATGATTAACGAGTAATATATGACATGATGATGGATTCTCCCTATGAAAATTTCAGTCCTCTTACAATTTATCAATTGACATTTAGAAAGTACATGCTATTGCAAGCAAAATAATATCAAATTGGCAAAATTTCATTGAGAAATAAAAAAGTTATGGCCATTCAAGAGAATACACCAGACTAGTATGATTAACGAGTAATATATGACATGATGATGGATTCTCCATATGAAAGTTTTAGTCTTCTTATAATTTATCACTTTACATGTAGAAAGTACATGCTATTGCAAGCAAAATAATTCCAAATTGGCAAAATTTCATTGAGAAATAAAAAAGTTATGGCCATTCATTAGAACACACCAGACTAGTATGATGATTAACGAGTAATATATGACATGATGATGGATTCTCCCTATGAAAATTTCAGTCCTCTTACAATTTATCAATTGACATTTAGAAAGTACATGCTATTGCAAGCAAAATAATATCAAATTGGCAAAATTTCATTGAGAAATAAAAAAGTTATGGCCATTCAAGAGAACACACAATTAAGTACGATTGACAGAGTATAATATGATGATGGAATCTCCCTATGAAAATTTCAGTCCTCTTACAATTTATCAATTGACATTTAGAAAGTACATGCTATTGCAAGCAAAATAATATCAAATTGGCAAAATTTCATTCAGAAATAAAAAAGTTATGGCCATTCAAGAGAACACACCAGTACGATTGACAGAGTATAATATGATGATGGATTCTCCCTATGAAAATGTCAGTCCTTTTACAATTTATCATTTTACATTTAGAAAGTACATGCTATTGCAAGCAAAATAATATCAAATTGGCAAAATTTCATTGAGAAATAAAAAAGTTATGGCCATTCAAGAGAACACACCAGTATGATTGACGGAGTATAATATGATGATGGATTCTCCCTATGAAAATTTCAGTCCTTTTACAATTTATCATTTGACATTTAGAAAATACATGCTATTGCAAGCAAAATAATATCAAATTGGCAAAATTTCATTGAGAAATAAAAAAAGTTATATATAGCCATTTAAGAGAACACACCAGTATGATAAGGTGAGTTTAATTAACATGGCAAATGTTCCCTATGAAAATTGAAGTCTTAATTTTTACAATATCAGAATTTCTACTCTTTTCTATATCAGTATAACTTTAAATTTTGGGTCATTTTTAAATTTAAAGGATTGTAATTATATTGATAATTTTTTCAAGGAATGAATCAAAGAGCTGAGATGTATACCTATATAGTTTTTCTTCATACAAAAACTTACGATGAAATATGGCACAGTTAGATATTCTTCATTTAATTTATACACTTATTATTATCATTAAATTTCCCAAACAATTAGTTATGAAATGAAAAATACGATTTCTGGTAAATTGAGTCTAAATTCTGTAAGTGATTGTAATCTGCACCATAAAAGACAGTACTGAATGCATTGTAATAGGAAAGGTCATATTATATGTATGCATATATATAAATTGGTAAAATTAAATTGAAATGTTAGAAAAGTATATTTTATGAATATATATTTTTAATCTGTTAACTAAGAAAAAAATAAAATGTTGAATAAATGATGGTTTTTTAATTATGAAAATGAGTTGCAACAGATCTTTGAATGAGCAAACCATGAAGCCTCATGTGTACATTCAAATACATGTATTTTAATTTTTTTTTTTTTTTGAAACAGATACCAATAACTGTTTTCATGTGATAATAGCACTAACAATATAATTAGTCCAACATGTTGTTACCTAAACTTAATTAACAAGGTTAACTATATTTACTAATTATTAGCCATTGTCATCTTCATTGTTTTGCAGTAGAAAAAAACTATAACTATACATATTTTTGTATGTCCATTAATCAACACTTTAAAATGTTGTTGTTTTTTCTTGGAAAATGTTTTAAAATAATTTTTAGAGTAGGTACTCCAAAACAAAGTATATACACAAATTGATAATAAACAGGAAATGGCTCGAGTCATCATCAGTCGGTGTGGAGATGAATTGTTGAATATATGTGTATATCACTGTTTACATTGAAGTTCTGGGGAAAAAAGGTGTGAGAATATTCCCTTCAGGCTAAATTTTACAATATATTTTCAAAGGTGTGAAATTGGAATCCATTCAATGATTTCAATCTGATCACTCTTTTACAACATTATATAAGATTTTCCAGAATCAATAAACAGATAAATTACTCTAGATCTCTTGAAAATTCTTCAGCAAATCAAAGATACTGAAATACAATCAAGCCTTTGGAAGCAATTTCAGTACTCTTTTGAGATGGGGTGGGGTACATGTAAAGAGGTGGGCTCAACTGATGAAGAATTTATAGAAGCATACAACTTTTATAATTTTGCTGCATAATATTCGTAGCGTAAAAGAGACGTCTGCATATGGGGGCAACATTTCTTCTGCTTGATTTTTTAAAATTGTTTTAATTTTATTTTTTGTTTTACTGAATAACGATAAAATGTGTGAATCTTTAGCTTTCCACTCTTACTCTGTATTTGGTGTTGATGTGCAGTGCTAAGTTTGTACAATCTCGTAAGATTTCAATACATGTATATATATAAAAAAAAAACCTGAAATAGACTTGAAATTAAACAACAGTGGCCTTATCGGCAGACATATGGCTGCAATTAGCCCTTTGTTTTATTTCACAAGTCCTGCATCTAGTATCTGAAATGTACTGTTTGTACACTTTGAATATAAGATTATTGATGGGAAAGTTAAGTATATGTGTATACTTTTCACACTTTTCACACGGAATTTACATTTGGTACATCATTAACTTTCAAATATCAAATTATATATTTTTATTCATTTTTTCTATTTACAATTTAATCAGTTTGGTTTTCCACGAAAGATATTTTTAAATGCGAATGTGATCTACAGGATAACATTAAAACAAGATAATTGAAGTTATATAGTATAATGACATATTATCTTCTCTATATACCAACAGTCCTAAGGGGACCGCTTTGATTATTTACTATAATTTAAATCAAGGATCTATAAATTGTCATTTTTTTCTACTAAACTTTAAAAAAATTCCTTTTCGTCCAAAGTTTCTTAAAATAAAAGTTACATTGGTTATTATTGTTTAGATGAAAAAAATAAATCACGTAAACGTAAAGACCATAAGTATTTAAAATCTATAACTTACATTCCAGAAAGGGACATAACTCTGTAAAGAGTATCGTATTATGCTATAGTGTCCTAGATTGGACATATATATTCTTTAAGCTAGAGTTAAAGCTATAATTTTATAAATGATTTATTTTTATTTATCGATAAAAACAATAATAGGACATATTCATAAATGCGTCACAAGACCCACTTCGAGATATTGACTCTGCTGACTTCTAAACGCTTTAGCTTTGGACGGGACTATATTTTTGGACGGGGGTGTCGATCCCAAGTTAAGCTCAATCTGATTTTTTTTTTTTTTTTTTTTTTTTTTTTTTGATATTTGTCATCTGAGTTTGATTTCACAGAAAAATAATCAACTTCTGTTGTATTACCTGTTTTTCTTAATCTTGCAGTAAATGCTTGAATACTAATAAAGCAACTTAAGTCTGCTGTTAAACCTACCCCACCCCCCTCCCCTTGCTAACTTCCAAGAAACCAATATCTTCACCCCAGATCTCCATAGGGTATGATACATGTATGTATATACCTAGAGGCATTTAAGAGTCTTTTGTTTTCCCCAGGTAGCAAAACTGTCACAATTTGCTTGGAACTAACAAAACATACACAAGGGATATTAACACACAGCAAGTCGATTTAACAAATGAATCTACAATAGAAATTCATGAAAAACAAACTCCATGCTTTTACTAAACCTTTGGATTAAGTCATAATTTTTTTTTCATTTTCAATTTAAAAATTAAATCCAAACAATTTTACATCGTTCATAATTGATAGCAAACAATTAATATAAAATTGCATCCCCCCCCCCCCCCCTTAAGGACAGATGATACAAACAAACGTTTGTCAAAAAATTCGAAAATATAAACTTAAATCATGTTTATGAAAGTAAAATGAATGCTCGTATACCTTTTGATTTTTCATTCTACATTTCACAAAAATGGGATTTGAAGTGACAAAAATTTATTGGTTACTATTGATTATCACATGAAGGATGGTTGGTGAATGATACAATTTTGAACATCATAGAAGGTTAACAATATATCAAAATGTCGTGAATTAAAAGAAGAAGAAGGGGCTTTATTGAGGCTATGTACTGACTGGACTTTTAAACTTGTACTGAATATCCCACTGACCATGCAAATAAAATTTTCTTGACTTTTCAAGGGAAACATTAATTTTTATTCTAGAGATACAGAGAGACTACCCACCCGTCCACTACCCCTCCTCCTTCTTATCATGTTCTCAATGATCATGATGATGTCCCATTTATATAAAATGTTAATATTTTTGGTATTGGGCATTTTAATTACCATTATTACCCATGGCAGTATTTACAACAACAACAAAAAAAATCTGAAAAAATAGGCCTGATAATTTATTTCATTTCTTTGTTTTCTCGTGAACTATCCATTGTTTAAATTAAAAAAAGATAAACCAATAAATAAAAAGAAGCAGTAATATTCTATCTATGGATTCACTTCTTAAAAATTCTGTGCAGACGGATGCATTATATTCCTAGAATTACCCAATACCAACCAAAGAAAAAAAAAACGGCGACAAGATTATGAGGATATTGGAATTTCCACATGATGTTTGTAAACAAAATTATGACGAAGACCTGCTCTATTTTTGTAAGTAGATCTAGAGTTATTGAATTTGTTATTTATTTCATTTAAAGCATGTTAATACATGGCTCATAGATTCTTTTTTTTTTTTTTTTGAAGTCTAAAGATCTATAGATCATCCTGATTCCTCGTTAACTGATGAAACAATCTTATGAATTTCTGTCACTGTAAAGTGTTTGCAGAGCTAGCAGTCGATGGGGTTATTCAGTAGTACATTATACAAGTTAACAAAGTAAATAATCGTCAGAAAATTATACACATCGGAATATTATTCTTTCGTTCGAATTTCCTCAATGACAACGTTGTAGGCTAGTATTCGTTCGTTCGAATATTCTCAATGTGTACACTAGCTGATGATTGTACTTAAAAAAATTATACTGTCATGTCTAAATTTGTCTGTAATTTGCAAGTTACAATTTATAAGTATCTTGATCACAGTCATCAGCATTACTGATTAGAAAATTAATTATCTTCTCTCAGACATGGTTAAAAGTATCCTACTACTGTAGTGTACTAGGGATTAACAAACATTGCATGTGTTGCAAGTACTATTTTTTTTTTTTTTTTTTTTTTTTTTTTTTTTTGGTGTCAAGATAAATTTTGAGATATGGGGGGTCAGTGCTTATAGTACATGTCATGATGGACATAATTAATAACCCCCAAAACTCCTACTTATATTGTTTGGAAGTATCCAAATATCAAATTACTAATTCTCTGTTAGAAAATTGGTTGATCCTCTGAAGTTTACATAGGACATGTACCCACATGATTATTGATATAATCAATGTTTTTTTGTTTTTTTTTATCTCTGAAAAACAGTCTTAAAACTTTGAGTGAAAAATCAATCTTTATACTGCTAAACTCATTTTTTATACCATGAATACATACTTAGGAATATCATTATTAAGTTATGTTCATGTTCTTTTGAGGGGAAAAAATATACATCATGTAGATGCTTATGTGTAAGTAAATTATAAAAGACAAAAATGCTAGGACTTTTTTATTTTACATATTTATTTGTAAAAATATTTTTTCTATTAATTGGAAATGAAATAAAAAAAAGTTCTAGCTTTCTTACTAATAATATGATTTTTTATTAGAATTGATAGGATATTGGATGTTTAAGAAATAAAGACCGCATTCTCGTGAATGTTGCAGGATAACCTGCAATGTTAATGTAGACATAGATTTAAATTACACAAGGACTCCCATGCCAATTTCAATAGTCCTCACCCACTGAAGTCAAACACAAAGGTAGTCGCACGAGATTTACATGCATATTTAGCCTCCTTAGCGTCAGACACAGAGACAGGTGCGCACGAGATTTTCATGCATATTAGGCCTTCTTAGCTCCTGACCTATCGACCTGCCTAATTTACATTCCGATAGAATTATCAAGAAATCAATTCCGCTAACTTTCAAAGAGTTACCACAGAGAAAAAAAAACAGGCATGGAAATATTATGGCATGATATCATGAAAAATTCTCAAGGGCATAAAACTACTATAATACAGATACCGGTAAATGAATGCAGAACATGCACAAAGTTTCATTTATGGTATATTGATAGATAAAAATAATTTATACTTTTATACTTCGACCTCAGTAGGGGTAAATTTTAGTGTCAGTCATTTTGGCTGGATCGAGAAATTTGAGTGATCGATATTCAATTCATTTTCTAATTTTAGTGAAAAATTTAATCCATGCTTTGTTATTATACATGTAATTGGTATTGTATGATTTATTCTATTTTTTTTCTTTAACAGAAAATGAAGGTATAGTAGCTGACATATAGTGTACATGTACCACTTGAAGATTTGTCCCCCTTGTAGATACAAGAAATGCAAAGGTAATTCTTTGTGAAAATAGAGAGAATGAATAATAAAATTTTTCAAACCATACAACAAAAACTACTTTGAATAATTAGTACGCAACCAACCATTTACAATTTAATTTTGCAGTTTTATTTCTTTAACATTGAAAAAAAATAAAATTTGATATTTTTTTTAGCTCTACTGGACCAGAAGAGCTTATGGGATAGGAAGGTGTCCCTCGTCCATCCGTCTAGCTGTCCGTCTGTCTGTCTGTCCATGGCGTCTAGTTGTCTGTCTGTCTAGCTGTCCATCTGTTTGTAATTTTTCAAAACACTACTCCTCCTACAGTTTTATTCTGATTTCAATATAACTTAGACTGCACTAAGGTACATTTCAATGAACGGTGCTGCCATGGTTACTAAAAATAGAAATTTCTGTAAAATTCCTTTAAAACGCTACTCCACCTACAATTTTGGTATGATTTCAATATAATGTGGCACACAAGTAGACTACACTTAGATACATAATTCTATTTATTGCTGTCTGTTGCAAAGTTTCAAATCCAAGTGTTACTTTTTCTTTGTTATACATATAGACCAGTAGAGCTACAGTCTCATCAGAGACTTCTGGTTTATCCTTTTCATCACACAGTGACTTTCTTTTTTTTCAGTGTACACAGATACATACACATAAAAGGAGACATCACCTCATGATCTGTGGATCCATTGAAAACTTTAAGGACAAAACTTTTGATAATTCATTCATGTATAGAGTGTTGACTCGAATATTGAATATCTAATGAATGGAACCAAGAGAATTAATCTAAGAAGTATTATATTGTATATTACTCTTTTTATTCATCTGTAAAATTTCTTAATTAAAAATTAAACTTAAAGGCTTAAATAAGGATTTTTTTTCCATTATTTTAATTAGAACAAGTTCTTTAATTTATTTTTCTCTTATATAAACGGGCATTTAAGGTCATACGCAACGTAGTTTGCACTTTATTGGGTTCTTCCCTGGAGTTGAAGAGTTCCACTAAATGAAGGACCTGTGTGCAATATTTTTATTGTCTATATATGGATTTGTAAATCTCTTCTAAAACAATTTTGATAAAAAAATCTGGAATTTATGTTTTGTAATTTTTGTACATTTTTCTTTTAATAATGCAAAATTTTTCAAACTTTAATATCTTTTCAAAATCCCTGGAAATGCATGCTGATTTTTTGTTTAAAAATATGTTATATGGTGCATGTATTATAAGTTTAAATTTAGAATATCTTGAAAAATTATCAGTAGGTAAGGTATCTTGCATATGTCCTTAAATGTAAAATGAAAGTATGTGTACCTTTATTCAATGAACTAGGGAACTCATGAAGTGTGCATATTTATATAATAGTGTTGTATTTTGCATGCACTATTCTTAAAAAGTAGTCAGGGTTTGACACATGGTGCACAAGCCGGAGGCTTTAGGTATAATGTACAGATAGTTTTAGAGAATAGTAGTTGAGTGATGGGGGCAATTGCAAGAAACTATTTTAGAAGAATTATTTTGTTTATTTTTCATCTTAAGTGTTAGCTGCAGAACTGTAGCTCTCTGAAAAAATATATATTGACAGACGGGAGAGCTACAGTGCCACCCATAGAAAAAACTGTATATTTATTGTGCACTTTTTGTGCGCTGTTTCTCGATTTATTTCTCAGTGTTTTTAAAACTGTCATCTCAAAATATTACTAAACCTGTGTTTCTAACATATTCTTTCACTGTTTCCACAATAAAACATTCCTTATAATTGTTTTTAACAGCCCTCCTGGCCCTGAAATTGAAATCATTGAAAATTTTGCCTATTTATACTGCCATTTTGGTCTTCACGATAATTCGGTCCAACGCACTTAGTACAAGTGTAAACTACGAAAGTTATAGAGGAGTAAGGACTTTTTTGAAATGTAGCTTTTTTTTTCAATTGAGGTAAGAATTTCGAAGAATTAATTCAGAACCGAGCGCACTTTTTTGTGCGCAATAAATATACAGTTTTTTCAATGGGTGGCACTGTAGCTCTCTGGTCTGTCAACATATATTTTTTCTGAGAGCTACAGTTCTGCAGCTACTTAAGTGTAAAATATTTGAAACTAAGTTTAAATATATTATAGTACATTGATATTTATAACGGCGTCTGTGTTGTAATCGGTAGCGCGTCGGACTGACAATCTCGGGGTTGTGAGTTCACTCCCAGGCGTGGGCGCAGTCAGTTTTTCTTCAGAAAATGAAGTCGTGCACTATTTCGGCATAGTATGCTTATGCTATTTAAATCCTTAGAACACTATGCAAGAATAGTAGGGTATGGGTTATGTAGAGACAAACTGACAGGAAGCATAATAATTGACAATATGCATTTATGACAAGAAAATTGAAAATCTTCCTGAAAGAAGTTGAATAAATTTAAGCCACTTAAGTACCAATCTAGTTAAAATTAGATGTTAGATCCGCTCACATAGTCACTACAGTCAGTTTAGCGAGTATGCGTGCGGATCTAACATCTTATTTAAATTACACGTAGATTGCTGAGGTAAAAGTTTAATACATGTACCCAATATCATTCTGCTATATTTGCATCCGCGTGGGTATTAACAGTGAGCATTAACTAACTGTGGCCTGGACCTCTTATTTTATGTGTTATGGGGTGTCCAAAACAAGGTGCATGCTGACGTTTAACAAAGAAGAAACTTGCAATGGCCTAAGGTGACTTGGCTATTATCAGTTGAATACATGTCAATGGTGCATGGTTATTATATGTACCAAAAAATAACAAGTAAAAGATCAGCAGAGTGCTTTTATTAAAGAAGTAACAGAACTAAGGAAAACTTGTTTTCTACTGGATGATATGAAACAATGAGTAGAGTACCACCGCAAATATTTCTGGATCCATGCCCTTTCATCATGTTTATTTTTGAACGGGTTCAATGAACTGTCAAAAATATGTTTCTAAGGTGTAGGTAGAAAGTTTTGAAATTAGTGAAAAGGTTGTTAAATTTTTTTAATGCAAACTACCAGTAAATGTGCATAATGAAGATGGTTGAATTTTTTTCAACATTATTTTCTGTTCATTTGTCAGATCGGGTTCGTTATGTGTAAAATAATTTCCAGCTGTCATTGGAACAAAACAAGGCATGATCAGGATCATACAAAAAAAATTAAAAGTAAAAATTAGGTAAATTATTACAGTTTGTGCATCTAAATAAGTTTTAAACTCTCTTAAGAATCTCAGAGTGACTGATACGACCCAATTTTATGTGATTTTTTAATTGGAAACCTATCAGTTTAGTGCAGCAAACAGGCAAAGATCTAACAACGTGCATGGATCTGATCATGTTGTAAAGCTTGACAAATGGCACTTATGCAATAAATTAACCTAAATGATTAGGAGGAAAATAAACAAAAAAAGATTTGTTCTTTCTTAATTGCATTTTTTATTTTTCCCATTCAAAATTTACATACAAGGAATAAAAGAAGGTAATCTACATACAAGGGAAATTGCCTTTTTACTTAAAAAAAAAAAAAAAAAAAAAAAAAAAAAAAAAAAAAAAAAAGCTGAAAGTTATAGAGATAAAACCACTTTTGATTTTTTGATCTTTAATCATTGAAAAAATTAAACATTACCCCAAAATTGGCTAATTTTAAGAAATTTAAAAAAAAAAAATGGTTTAGGAAACACATAACTTAAATGAAAATAAATAATTAATAGTAGTTAAACTGTTCAATAGTTTCTTTATTTGGTTTAAAACTGTTGTTTCTTTATCCCATGGGAGAATTTTTTTCTATTTTGTAATGAATATGGGATTAATCCCACATTTATTAGAGATGGGAGATTATCTTCTATATACAAGTATATGGGAGATTATGTCCCATTATAAAGCATTCATGGGATTTTCAAACTTCTATGGGAGAAAAAATCCCACAGAATACCTTTTTCTCCCACAGAATAATGGTGGGATATTGGTTAGGAGAAAAAATCCCACCATTATCCCATGGGATTTCTTGGTTTCAGGGGTAATATCTTTTTACCTAGAAGATAATCAGGTGTAAATTTTGGTTCATGTGTTAAGTTTTAAAAAATCCCATCAGATGACATAAATGGTTTCCACATATCTTTGGAAAAGTGGTTGGCGAAAGTCCGGACAAATGTCGTGTCCGGAGTTAAATGTCGCACTGTTGTATGTCCATAGACCTAACGCAGATTTACATGTATGTACTATTAACAAAGAATTAAAGAAAGACGTGTATTTCATTGATTGAAAATCACACTGCATAAGATTTATAGTGTATTGATGACTTAACAATTAAAATAATAAAAAAACGAAAGATAGAAAGCGTCGATACCACACAATGATATCAAATTCGCATCGAGGACATAATCAGAGAACTAGAGCGCTGTGACTATTATGTATATAAAAGAGATTATTCTACAAACTAAAGATGTTTTATTTTTATTATTTAAACCTGTCACATTCTTCAATAAAAGGATATAGTGTACACAACATAAAATCAGAATAGATTTTTTTTGTGAGATATATTTAATACTGGCTAAAGTGTCTTCTTAAAATGAGAGTTCTTTGTAAATAGAGGGGGGGGGGGGGGTGTCTCAACTTATAGAGCTCATACATGTTCAGTTCTCCACACGAAAAAATAGATTGACAATAACAACCATTGACTGTATTAAAGATGCCCTCTAAAAGCTTTTGATGACAATACAAATACACGTGGAAAAAATATGAGATGGGATTTTTTTTAACCTTTAAAAATAAAAACTTGTTTTAAAAAGTACTCAGGGAGAAAAACCACTGCAATAACAAAACAACTATTTTTTTCCGCAGATATTGAAAACTCTGTGAAAGGAATAATATAAAGGTAAAGAAAAACACAAACATTTATGATCTAATATTAACATTATGATGTAAAAATGAATATAATAAAATTAATACATGAAATATGAAACAAATGAAATGTGACTTTTTTTTCTAGAATAATTTTTTTTTTGTTAGAATACTGTAATGAATTTGTTGATAAAATACTTTCTTTAAAACAAATAATCATTTCTTAGGCTATTTTAGTCCCTTCCCAGATTAAAAACAATGACCACAGTAATTATCAGTAAATCTCAGCATCGACAGCATTTATCAGACTCCACAGTAAAGACCACAGTAATTATCAGTATTTATCAGAAACAACTTAAATTATCAGCAACAACAGTAATAATAACAGTAAATATCAGTATTTATCAGCAAAAACAGCACCGTATCAGTATTATCAAACATTATCAGTAAAATTTGGGATTCTCAGCACTTTTTTCGTCCTGTAGTGATAGAACAGGTGCTGTATGCTAAAAGAACGCATGAAGATGATAAAATAATCAAACTCATTTAATATTGTCAATTTTCATGTATGCAAACTTTCAAAGTATAAACCTTTTATACATATATTACTTACTGATAATTCATCGTCCATTCTTCTTTCTGTTCTTATCCCTTCTCTCGCTTTGAGGTCTGGCTCGGGTGACGTAATGTATAAAGATGGCTTTTCAGCATGTGATGTTTGGTGGATCATAACACTTTACATTCATAGAGGCGGGTTTACGTATAAGTAGAAATTTTGACACTGGCTCTATTTGTTTCGGGGTTTGGTTAATTATTCATTATACTAGGATATTAAACTAGCGTAAATAACTGAAGAAAAGTTTAATAAATTCATTTGTATATCGTGTACATTCAACTTAAAATTGTCCGTGATATGCACATGTAGGATTCAAACATGTAATGTTAGTAAATTATACAATGTAAT